CAACTTTTGAATGTTAAGAAACCTTATATTTCCTCAAGTATCAGTACTTAATGTTTTGTTCCACACATAAAACTCTGTGAGTGGAAGGCTGCTGGCCCCCTTGTCAGAGGTAATTCTCAAGGCTCTGCATGGGATTTAACGGGAGCCATATGGTTAAGTCCATCAACCCTCCCAGAAAGCATCCCCCTGAAGGGCCCTCGTAAATGTTCTCAGTGCTGTGAAAGATCCAGCAACTTTCTAACAATAAAGCAATGTTCATAGTCATGATATTCAACAAAACATAAAGCAGGAAATAATGGCTTCTGGTCTGAATTACTCAGAGAGGGCTTCAAGCTGCCCTGGGGAATGGCCATGGGCCAGTGATGACCTGGGACCTGCTGGCCTGTTGCCTCCGCAGGAAGAAGGCTGGCCTGAATGTCACTTGCATTAGCTTGTGGTAGGCAGTGACAGCTGTCTTGTGGTGGGCAGTCTTCATCATGCTCTGTTGGTTTGTGGAGTTTAAGAAAACTTTTAATAATGGATTTGTACACCTATGCATTTACAGAGCAAGCACACTCTTAAACTCTAAACTGCTTATTATTTAAATCTTCTTTAAGCCATGCCTTTCTGTGATGGCATCATTTGCTGACCTCTCTCCATTCTTTTTGGGCTTCCTTTTTCAGAGCAACAATGACAAAGAAACCCTTGAGTCAATTTACATCCTCATCTCCATGGACAGCTCAAGCAGCAACACCAATTCATACAACAAAACCACATGACTCCTCTGATAGGAGAGGTTCCCTTGCTTTTAACACCAACAAGTTCTAAGATGCAATAAGATTTTCATTATTATTATCATCATCATTATTTTCCTCGGTCATGTCCATTGAGCTATTTTGTATGGCACATAGTGTCAGGGATTGCAAAGAGAAAAGAGAGAAAGAAGCACAGAAAGGGTAAGAGAAGGTACAATTTATGATGAGTGTCGACTCCTTTTTATTGTTTTCATAAAAATCATATTTTATATAAATATTCTACAATATTTTATATGAATTTCTGGCTAAGTGTTAGTTCTAGAGTGCCTCGCTACAGCACCATGCAAATAGAGTTTATGGCCAAGTAGCCAATATGCCCACATATCACATGGACATGTATATTTCAGGACTAATTGGTATAAAATCAGGGAGAGGTCACATATGTTCGCTGTTGAACATATTTTGAAGTTTCTAGTATATTTACTAGAATATTTCACAATGGACCAGATATCTTCTTTCCAAATATCAGTCTTGGTAGGAACATTTGTGTATTCTGATGTTAGATGTATCACACTTCCACTGTAAACAATTACTGTCAAATAATATCCACCAATAATCTAACCAGCTTATATATTTTTTCAATCTGTACAGAGAATTAACATTTTAGAACATTTTAAATACAGGAAGAAAATTGATGGAATATTTTGGCAGTGGCTCCCATAACCTGTCAGAACTCAGCACTTATACCCATTCTTGCAGAACTCCACACTCCATATTATCTTCATTGCTCTCCTGAAGAATGACTGATCATGAATTACTCACTATCATTTACTCCAAAAGAGAAATAGACTTCTTCAGGGAAGCTGGGATCTATCAAGATCATAGCCACCTACTCATCTGAGTATTGGCTCCTACAGAAATGTCTCATGTGAGAGAAGACAGAGAGAGAGATAGACAGAGATAAACAGAGAGTCAGAGAAAAAAAGAATTTGCACTACCACTACCTGCTCATCTACCATTTTCCCCAGGCTTTGCTGGCTTGATACTGAATTAATGAGCCTGTTACATGATATCTAATAAAAATGACTAGAGTAGAGATCTTGGAATCTGCCACATATTTGGTCCAAGGATGAATCGATTTCATCTATATTTAACACATGCTTGTTTTCTGTCTCACTTGTCTCCCCCACAGCCCGTGCCTCACTCTTTTTTCCCATCTGGAAAACTTATCTCTTAAAATGCTGCCATCAATCAGCCAAAGACACTCTTCCCGACAGAGTGTCTGCCAGTTTGACAATGCACAAGTAGTCACTAGTTTGGGGATACCTCCCACACTCTCTAGTGCTGTGTGTTTTTCTAGCCAGCCTAACCACACAAGTGCAATTTGGGATATTTATACTTACCTCCAGCTTCTATTGGGATAACAGCACTACTTCTACAGAACTGGAAAAAGGGCACGGCAGAGCATGGAAGGGGATGAAATGAAAGTTGCCATGTTGCTTGTCTAACTACTGTTCATCTTATTTCTTCAGATTTTTGCGTTTCCACCCATTTTGGAACAATGTAACTCAGTGCCTACTCAGAAAGTATGAAAATCAAATGCTTACTAGGATGCATACTTTGTCTCCCAAATCCATGAGAACTAACACTGCTCCCATTTCCCAGTCCTTCATGTCAGTACCACTCTCAATACATCCAAGCCTCTAAGCTTAAATACAGCCTGAAAGGAGGGGGCAGAAAGGAGAGCAAAAGTGGGGTTAGCAGCAGAAGCTGAGCACTGGTAGAAGGGGAGGAAAAGACGGGGAGTGGGAGACAGGCGGCCCCCTTCCTCTGCACAAAGTCCCAGTCGTGAACACACCCACTGGCCACGGCAAAAGGGCACTGTGCATGGGCACAGGTGGGTCCCAGCCCCTCTGGCTGGATGCAGCTTAAGCACAGAGCCTGAATGAAGACTTTCATTGCTGTTTGCTGTTTTTGTTGGCCAGTTGCCATGGCAAACATTTGCAGGTGGCTTGGCCAGATTTTGACACTTAAATATTTGAGGTTGTGATAAAAATCAGAATATTACTACAATATGGTTCTGTGCAGCCTCAAAAAAAAAAACTATCTGCAATTTCAAATGCTCATTTAAAGACACAGTCTCCAGAGGGAACTCATGTTTTAAAATAAGTACTCATTTCCTCTTTGCTGAGAGAAATAAAAGAGTCAACCATCCCCAAATGTTACCACCTAGAGTTTCATTCTGAATCCACTGTGAGATGGGTTGGCTTGTTCCTTGCTGAGCCCCCATGATCATCCGGGCAAGGTTTTGAATGGGTCACATAGAGAAAATGGAAATGACAGGATGTGTGGGTTGAAATCAACATGGTAAGCACAACAGGGAAGGATCCGAAGAAAAGAAACAGCCTCCCTCAAGTCTGGCAATGAGACAGAGTCCTAAAAGTGACAATTATCTCCTGGAACACACCAGACATACAACACCCCAGGACTGGGAATAAATGGGAAACGGAGTGGGTCAGGAGGTCACAACTATCAGAGAAACACCCCCACCCATCCAAGCATAGTGACATGGCCTAGAAATGTCACCCAACTGCACAGCCTTGGGCCAGGTAGGTAAATTATTGACAGACTCAACACCCATCCCAGAATTTAGGGCTAACCCTTAAAAGGCTGTTTCACAAAAACCGGCATTGTACTAACAATGGCCGAATACTAAGGGCCTCCAAGAGGGTAGCTGGGGACTGGTGCAGGGAGAGGCAGAACTCCAGGGGAGAAGGAATGCTGTAAAACTGCTAGTAAACTTTAGCACATTTTATGTTTTTTCCCTTTGAAGGAAAAATAAAATAATTATAATTAGCTGGCCAATTGTGAATTGTCTGCCCAAAGCCAAGCCACTAGAGTGAAGGAGTCCCTTGAGATTTCAACAACCCACTCCACCCTCTTAGTATATTATTATAGGTTCTTGCTTTAGATAGTGGCAACATTTGCTTGCATAGTCATTTGAGAAGAAAAGAAGTCTTTAACAGAGACAGTTGCTAATTGAGTGCTGACTTCTTCAAACAGAGGCAAGGATTCAAATGGCTGGATTCATTTCCTATTTCTTGAATGAGAAACTAAACGGACCCACAGCAAACTCACAAAATTGTCATTGCCCACAACTCTCATTTGTTAAGGTAGGTCTGCACATGTCACAATCCACTCAGATAAGATGAAAAATATGAGGCAAGGTACCCCTTCTAGAGCATTTGAAGGAGGAATAAGCCAGTGGTGTCCCCAGTACTCGCTTCTGGTCTGTTAATTCTTACAAGCATTGGAAACAAGGGGGAAAAGACACACTGACAAATTGTGGGACAACTTCTAATTTTTTTACATTACCATATCCAATATTCAATTGAATATATTCAAACTTCACTCTGATGTATATCCCAAACACAGCAGGCTCCCTTTGCTGTTTTAAACTCTGGGAACATAGAGCAACCAGTTTTCAGCATCCGACAATAAAAATTTATCATAGCTCTTTGGCTTAAGTTATTATCTTCTCTTCCTAAGAACTTGAATGCTCTTAAATATTTTATTTCCTCTTCACTCTACTCTTGCGAGGGTGGAAAAAAGAGACACCATCTTCATTCTGGAGATAAGGAAGCTGAGATTCTGCATTTCTAAGAAGCTCCTGGCTAATGCCCAGGCTGCTGGTCCTCAGACTCCACTCTGAGTAGCACAGGAATAGAGCTCTCACATGATACTCAGAAGTGAGAGCTCTTTCCATCCCATAATACAAAGTGTCCGGGACCATCCTACCAATGCCTTGGGATTATCTTTTTTATGTAAATGAGAGGGAGAGGGCCTGCTTTCTTTATCCTGTCTATTCCAGGAATGACTACGGACCAATAGAGAGAGAAGGGAGAAACTTCTTTCTACCATCCTCAAGTATTTGTCTTGAGAACTATGCTGTGGACTTTATAACACCCACAGAGTTTCCTGTAGTCATCTTACAATTCACAAATCTTGTTTGAAGAAACAATGATACAGAATGACTTGCTCCCCAACCCCTACCCCAAAAAGTTAGGGTCAAAGAGCATCCACCAAACAGAGACCCTTGTCTCCTTTCTCCTATCAAAAACATCACTGTGAGCTCTAGGCAATATCACATTAGCCAGGAAAACCAACTTCTGTCTCATCCAATCCGGGCACTAGAAACAAGAAGAAAATCCAGAACCTTTCCTGAGCTCCAGCCAGGCCCCAGAAACAACAAGGAGGTCTCCTTACCCGATCTGGCGGTTGGTGGAAGGTGCTTGTGTGATGACAGAGCTGGACTGGGGTGACGGCATGGCTTGCTGTATCACAACACTGGTGTCATGGTTGGGCATCCGTGTGCTGCCAAGCTGGTGAGCCCCAGGCCCTGCCATGGCCCCACCAACTGTATTATGCATCGAGATATTCTGCCCAGAGAAGACAGAGGGGAAAGGTCAGAGGAAGCCAATGTTTTATCCTACTTTCAAACTCTCAAAGACCAAAATTGGGAATCTGGTTATGTCAACTAAATAGAGAGTTATGGCTTCTGGCAAGCCATGGGTCCATTCATCTTGTTATAACTTACAACTATGAGAAGATGAAAAATAACTATTTGCCCTAAGAGTAAAGCACATAAGAAAATACCTTGAAGTTCACTAATCACACTGCCGCCATCCTGATGTGAGGTTTACATCAGGGACGTTTAGTGACTCAGTGTGATATATACTGCATTTGAAAATGATTTCTACGGTATGTGCTTAATACTGTGATTTAGTGAAGAGCCCTTTGGCATTCTGCTTTGAATGACAAGCACACTGGGTTATTTTTTTTCTTTTGCACTCAACCACTATATTTTCCCCAGGAAATGCTACTTTTCCAAATTGTAATCTGGGTACCCATGACCCAAGCCTCAAAACTGGGAGGATGGATGATTGGAACAGACAAGGGGGTGTCTGGGATCCAATAAAACAAGAGCAAGAGTTGCAACGTCTGCTATATTTCCATAAAATCAATTCATAACAATGTTATGGAATCACAGAATACAGAATGAGTGACTGTTTTCTTATTCATTATCTTTCCCTCTAGAATGTAGAATATTTGTGTCCAAAATGCTATCCCTATATTTGGAACATAGTAGGCATTCAGTAAATAACATATTGCATGAACAGACTAGTGAAGGAAAAAATGAGACTAAATTGCTTGAGGGTTCTAATATTTATTTCCGATGACTTGGATAAAGGTTTTGTTTAAAATTCAAAAGTAAGGTAAAAAAACATTAGCTTAAAAGACAGCTCTTCCAGAAAAGGTGACTGGGACAAGAGAGGATACATATTGAAGCTAGGAAGGCTGATCAACATGGTGGGGCTAAAATATGAAACATTCAGAACCTAGAAAATAAAGAGTAAGTGCAGGGCAAAGCAAATTAAGTTATGGCCTCTGTAACCACCAGGTACAGAACTTCAGCCTAGGAAAGGAGGGAAATTCGAGAGGTCATTTGGACAATGGGTTGAGGATGGCAGGAAAGAAATGAAGTGTCACTAGCAATTTACTGGAGGGAAAAAAATTTTATATATATATATATCTGTGCTTTGGGGTTAGCAAAGAAAAAAAGTAAATGTTACCCAAGAGAACTGGAAGTGGTTCTTTGAAGTTCTTCTGCAAAGAACAGGATTTCCTGCACTACATGTTAAATGATGGTGATAACATATATGGTACTTGGGGTGGCTGTGTCCATCACATTGCACCTTTCCCACGTTTCTGATTTCTAACTCCTGACCACACAGTTTGTTAGGAGTCCAGATGGAAACTGGGCACCTGGCTTAGACTGTGAGTGACTGTTTTGTCGTGGGTTCCCAAAGGCATGAACAGGCTTCTACATACACACGCAGTCCAAAGCTCCTCTTATATACTGGGAGGCTTTTCTGATGTGGGAAAATATTGTGGTTGGGTAAAGTAACATGAAAGGAAGTGGTGATTTGTATTGGGGTGGCACTGCAGGGACATGCTTGAGTTCTTGTTATAGGATCTAGAGACATAGAGAATGAAACTTAAAATAATGAAAATAAAAATAATTGTGTTATTTCCTTTGAAAGTGAACCTTAACAAACTTACTTTCCTGGGTCTTAATGAGATCTTGACGAAGTAAACAATTACAAGTATTATTTTTCCATTGTTTGGATCCTCAAAGATACTAAAGAGTTTTCATCTTGCTCGCTGTCACCTACTTTGTCAATAATATAATCCCTGACTCTGTTTTTAGAAGCTGCATGATTAAACTTTTAAAATAATAGTATTTAAATTCACAAACAAGAATATAAAATCTATGACCTCTTTTTGAGTTACATTTGACATCTCTTTTCTATTGCCCCCACATTCAGTCCCCAAATATTACAAATTCAACTTAAGCATCCTATATCTCTGTCTTTCCATCTATCCTTCCACCAGCTTATACCCAAGAGCACCATCTCCTTTCCTGGACTAGACAGTGGTCTCCTAGTTGGTCTCCTGTCACTCACTTTAGCTTCCCTTCCCATATTATAACCACAGGGATCTTCTCAAAAGGCAAAACTGATCATATCTCTACAATTCCCCCTACCACCCCTAACCCCAGCTTCTTGAATGGTTGGCTTCCTATGGCTTAGAAAACACTGACAGCATTCTTTGGATGACCTTCAAGGCCTGTATGGGATCCTTCTACCTCCACAGCCTGCCTTACACCATCACTCTAGCTCCCTGTGATTTATTCCACCATACTGAAATGTTCCTGCCTTTAAACTGACCATGCTTCATTTCAGCTCAGGGCCCTAGAATCAGCTCTTTTCTGTTGCCTCTGCTCTTCCCCTGACTACACCTTCAAATGCTAGATCAAGCATCTCATGAGGAAGCCTTCCCTGACCTCTCCAATGATGGGCATCATCTCCCTTTCTTTTGTAGTATTTTTCACAATATTACAATTATTTTTTTATTATTTTATTAACATGTTTCTTCCTCTAGAACATGGGTGGGGAACCTTTATTCTGCCAAAGACCATTTGGGTATTTATAACATCATTTGCAGGCCATACAAAATTATCAACTTAAAAATTAGCTTGCTATATTTAGTCAAACATTTAATTAACTCATCCCTAATGCCTTGGCAGGGCCAGACCAAATGATCTGGCAGGACTTATACAGCCTGTGGGCCAGATGTTCCCCACCCCTGCTCTAGAATATAAGTGCACTGAGAGAAGGGACTAAATCTGATTCTATTCCCATTGTGTCTCTATTGCATACGTCAGTGGCATATAGTAGGTGCTCAGTAAATATTGAGTGAATAAGTTAAACATAAAGTATCACTCCTAGAACATTCAGTATGATAAAATCTTATCTTTTGTCCCCTATGCAATTTTTCAGAGTGCTAACTTCTTATCTATTTACCTCAAAATCTCTAAGTATACTCACAATAATACAGTTTTAGATGAAGATACTTGTTCGATTATGGGCTAAAGAAATAGGATCAGGATTAAGAAAAAAGCCACAAATATGGCATGTAGATTGCAAAGTAAAGCCTTTGTTAAAATATTAAATGAACCTTTGGAGGAAAATATAAAGTAGTGAGCTTCAAATCTGAGAACTTTGGCTCAAATGATGGCAACAACCATTCTTTTTTTCTACCATGAAAACTAAGAAAAACTGACTTGTGCTGCAGCCCAAATACATGGGTTTCGTATCTTCAGAGTAAAGCATGTTAAATGAGAGAAAGAAGTAAGTCCCTCCACCCCCTGCCAAAACCAGTTTAAGATTCTTCTCTGAGAATCATTTTTAAAAAAATACAAAGGACTATCTAGGAAAATACATTCCCCTTTCCCCACCAAAATCATCTCTTTGTCTCTGCAATCCCCACCAGAGATAGAAAAGGCATCTGAAAGTTATATTCTAATTCTTCAATAATATGCTTTCTCCCCCACACATGAAAACAGCACATTCTCCAGCCTCCTTCCCCACATACAGAGGGTAATTTCAAAACACAGTGGAAAAAGAAACAATTAGACAAGCATTATTATTTCATATTAGTAGGAGATAATCTTTTTTTTCTTTAAGCATTACGTAGTAACTCAAACATGAAATTACTTTCTGAGTTCACATTTTCCCAATTATTGGTTCAAAACCTGTCTTCATTGATAAAAGAATGGCATTTTGCCTCCAGATAAATTAAATATTTAATTTCAAAAATACAAAGAGTGACCCTATCTTGCTGAGTTATTTCTCTGGTAGAGGTGCATAGATTTGGAGCTGGTGAAACAATGTCACAAAATCAGTGGACTTATGTCAATATGCTCAGAAGGATTGGGGGTGTTCCTTGAAGTTCAGCCTTTGGCCTTTTCTTGTTTAACATATTTATTAACAGCTTGGATAAAGATGTAAAAATTGTGCTTGTCAACTCTGCAGTTGACACGTGTTGGGAGGCATAGCTAATGTTCTGCATAGTGGATTCAGGTTTTACTGAGCCAACTGTGTGATCTGGCCTCCAAAAAATGCTAACATAAATCTAGGTGGTTGTAAGAGAAGTGCAAAGTCCAGATCAAGGGAAGTAATTATTCCCCTGTAGAGCACGTTGAACTGACCACATTTGGCGACCACATTTTAAGGGGGAAATTGACAAATAGGATGGAATGAAAGCCACGACATCCGAAATGCATCACAGGAAGAACAGTAGAAGAATCAGGGAATATTTAGTCTGGAGAAGAGAAGACTTAGAGGGTCGTGATAACTGTCTTCAAATATTTGTGGGATTAGATATAGTATTTGTTGCTCCAGCAGCCATGATTTCAAAAAATGATGATGCAAGCCAATAATAACTACAATGTGAGTACCTATTTTGAGGCAGCCACTATGGGAGATGCTTTATAAACTGTACTTCTAATCCTCACAATGACCCTATAAAGTAGGCATTATTCTCCTCATTTTAAGATGAGAAAAAGAGCGAACTCTGCACCATGACTAAGGCCATGCCATTCACCACCGCTGGCCACCTTCACTCTTTCTGGATTGATACTTTAAGAATATGAATTTGACCTTTTGTTGGGATACATTTACCATGAGTAGAGATATCCCAAAACAAAACAAGTTGCCTTATAAAGTACTGAGCTTCTGGCATCAAAGTTAAGTCAGCAGAGACCAGTGGTCATCTGTCAAGAATGGCAGCAAGATGATTCTTGTACCAGGAGGTAGATGGCACTAGATGACCTCCAAGGTCTCTTCCATTGCTAAGATTCTCTCATTTATGATACATGGTTCACACTTTGGCTCAAATGCTTCCAAATGATTAGTAATATGTGATAATGTTGAAAATATATTGGCTTAGGTATTAGGAGGTCTCTTCTAATCCAGTCTCTCTACCCCTCCTTGTAGCCATATAACCTGGGCAAATCATTCCACTTCCCTGGGAT